TGTCAATTCTTAGGATTCTTGCTTAGGAATTAATACCCAGTCGTCATACATACTAGGCGTCTTCAATACAGAAGTCAAATGAACTTATCCCTTATCCTAGCACCGTAGTTGTACAACAAAGTATTATAAATGATGTTTCACGCGCCCCGAATCTCGTGGCATGGGTGGGCGCCATGCCCTTAGTGATGCACTTGCATAGATCAGTATTTAACCCTCGGAGGCAGACCAGCCTCGTCCTGTGCAGCAATAAATGTCTTCATAGGGCGGGTCACCAAAGGGGGGGGGCTTCTCATTACATGGAAGGACGCCTCGTGAGTGACCATTCGAGTTCACCAATATTCGCCACGTATCCTGGTCGGTGCACTCATCAACCTTCCAAATCGCACTACAGACGCCAAACCCACTGCACGTTTTGCTGGAACACTTTAGGCGCCGCTCTACCATTGTATGTTTGCCACCACAGATGCGGCAAAACTCGAAGTCGACTTTCGTGAAGGTTGCCGTGCAGCAAATGTACTAGTCCCGATAAAACTCGTATTCATCACCACTGTCGAGCAAAGCGAGCTGGGTCCATGTAGTCATGTTGGTACACGAAGCGATATGACGAGTCGTAGACGTGAGTGACTTCTAGACGCTGGAATCGATTATGTATGTACAAGTTAAGGCGCTCAGCTAAGTGTAAGAGCAATTCTGCCGGGCATCTAAGGCTTCGGGGTAATTCTGCCACTACGATAAGAGACCTGGGCAACTCTGCCGTTCGGCCGCTTATAGTTCGACCCTCGCCGTTATGTTATGCCTGCGTTTGTATAGTCAGCCCCCACCAATATGTTTGCTCCCCAAGTTTGTATGTTTTGCACCACAAATCTGTATAGTTACGCACCCTCCTCTGTTGACAGCCGTCACTCGGGCATAAATTCTGACGCAAGAGAGTCGGCTGTGTAGTACTGTACTCATCTTTCTTTGATCCCTTGCACTGGGGAAGACACCTTTGATTGAGAAACGAAAGTATTGAAGGCACACAAACAACTATAGCTAACATACGAAGAATCGAACGCAACAGCTTGCATTTACAATGTTCTTTATACTGGGATAGGAAGCAACGTTAGTGCTGCAATCGCAGACCAAATAGGATTATACCGGTATCCGTGGTAAGTCAAGTCAAACGATGACCCCTCTTGACATCTAACTGGTATATTTTCTTGAAACCGGTACGACTCCGATGCCGCAATGGGTCGTTTATATCGCGCATATAAATTATACGCGTGGGCAGACTGAACCGGTACGATACGTATAACACCGGTATGGAACCGGTGATGCACTGGCCCGTTTATATGCGTGGGCAGATCCAACCGGTGTGCTACCGACGACACTGGTACGAACCAGTAAATATATTCGAGCAGTGAACGAATTGAAGTAAAGAGAACGATCGAGGCGTACTGTAATAGCACTAGAGATAAGCATTTGCATTTTCAGTAGGAAACTTCTACAAGCTGCAAACAGATCTCAGCCAAGCTTCCCATTTTTAATTTTGGTGTAAGCGTTGCCAGTTGATATCTGGCATCTACGGTCTCAAGGTCAATTTACGGGCAGATGCTGCGGCTAGGAGATGACCGTAGTTAATAAGAAAAGTAATCAATAAAATAAAGAGGGGGGTTATACCAAAATCCACCTATCCCAGCCTTCGCGGAGCCCTAGTGTTGGAGCCTCTAAATATAAGCGCTGCTACGTAGTCCGGTGTCGCACAGCGTCAGCCAGCTGGCAGTGCATTCACACATTATCTTACAGAACTCCCCGCCTTAGCCACAAAGGTGGGACCAAAAGAGAGTGAGAGGTACAAGAATCCAACACGATACTCAAAGAACTATTAATAAGTTACCTCAATTATATCGCCGAGTGCAAATCTGGCATACTTTATTTTCGACATATTACCTCAAAGTGTTCTTTAATTCAGTACATAGACGGCTTATGCTTATGCTTAAGATAACTCTGTCGTGATTTGCACAAATTATGCAAGGTACCAAACCTTATGCAGAGTAAAGC